CACCCCCACGCTCCTAACGGTCGCCCTTCGGCCCCTCGGAAGCCTGGCCCGGGGCCCCGGCCTTCCCCTCCTCCGGGCCCGCCTGGGGGCCTCCGACCCGATTGTCCGGCGCTCCCCGGAGATTGCTCAACGTGCCTCAGGGTTCTCGTCGGAATTAGCTGGGCCCTGCGGGTCATAAAAGTCCAAGCGTTGCACGACTTTGGCTAATGTGGAAGCCTTTCCCCTTAACCAGAGCACCTATTCTGGATCTTCACCTGGATTCCTTTTCAGCTAGCGACATTAGTGCTTGGTCATTGGGGTCTCCTTCCTCCCAGTTGCCCGGCCGTGTTAAACATGTTAGTCTTTTCTATCGCCAGGCTGGGCCCTTCTCAGCCCATCATCACCCCTGATGGAGCTGCTCTCTGGCCACGGCTTCTCACCCCACCCCCTCCATTTTTTTTTTCCAAGTTAACTTTGAGACCTTCATTTCGCACCTCTTACCCAGTCGTTACTAGTATTCCAAGTAAGCTTCCAGGTTCAGTTCAACATAACACCTGGCCCTGGGAAATGTTAAGTCAATACTTAGTCGATACTTTCCTCCAGCCACTCATCTTACACTCTTCTCGCTCTTCGGTGCTGCTTTCCCAAAAATCAGCCTTTACACAACCTGTCCACCACTCTTTTGAACTGACGTGCCAGTTGCAATTTAGCCGCCCACCAAGAGCCCCTCAGTTTGCCTTTGCAACCGAAACACCATGGGATACCAACAGGCGGGTTCTGTTTGCCACTCAGTGTGGGAGTTTGCTCTCTGATTCCTTCATCCTGTACTGTTGTCCCTTGTGCAGTCCCCGGTCACTTACTCTCACTTTAGCTCCAGTTTTTATTTCATACATTGTAGGTATAGTATATCATTGGGAAAAAGATTGGGGCACATCTGGTTGCTGCCATGGCCTGGGGACCAGAGGCCTCAAGAGTCCCATATAGTGATTACAATCAAATGAGCTGTGTTCTTAGACTCCTAGTCGGGCTTTTGCAGCCAGTGGATGCATTAGTATTGTGTATGATTTGATGGATTAAAAGACCCCAATTTGCCCTCTCATGTCTGTGGTGGAGTTTGAAATAGAAAAAAATAGCCCCACTTTAGAGCAGAGAAGATGAAAAAAGGCAGCTTTGTGAGGGATTTTTAAAAATTTTAACAAGAAATTTATTTAAAATGGCTTAAAACTCACAAAGTATACTTGAGAATTTGGGATGGTTCCTGCTGTTTGTGTGCCCCTTCTCCAGTCTGGATAGAATATCTAGGGACTTCGAGGTCATCTGCCAGGGCAGCTGCAGCCTCCCTTTCTTGTTGGAGCCCAAGACTGGGCAAGTGGGCAGGCAGGATCAGATGAGGTAAAGTGTGGAAGTGCTTTGAAAACTTAACTAGTAGATATGCTCAGGGGCAGCATTTGTCAGGATGGCTCAGAGAGTAGAGAGCTGATGACCATCCAAGAGGAATGCAGGTTTGCACCCATTTTTAAGCCTCAAGAGTTTTCTTTCTATCATGCCTGGAGAATCTTTCCATCCTGAGAAAGGGCGGAGTTACCTCCAACAAGCTTGGGGCTGGGCGGTTGCTCAAATGTTGGGGAATTTGGGATTCTACTTCTGTTAATACTGATACCTTTCTGTGCCAAGGCACATTGCTTGGGATTGGGCTAATTTTAGGGATGATGAAACGAGGAAGTAATGTTCTTAATGTGTACCGGGACCACCTATCCTCTGAATCTGTGCTTTCTCCTGTGAGTTCTGAACCCCAGAGAATAGGCTCCCCTCCTGTTCCCTCAAGACTCTTGTGAGCACCCAGGACCAGTGTATGTCCTCTCTTTTTGACTCCAGCAGGGGGCAGCCTTTTAATAGTAATAATTCAGATGCAAGGGGAGTGAGGGTATACTGAACCCTGAGAAAGAGGAGCCAATAGATCAGATTCTGAGGGCAGGGCGAGGGGTGGGGGCTAAGTTGGAATGAGGAGACCCTTAGATCAAGTAGCTAGGAAAGGCTGTGCCCCCAGTCCTCTGCCTGCTGCCTCTCCCGCTCTTTCCTTCACTGTTTCTAAATGCTTGGCTTTGAGAGTTTATAATAGAGGAACTTAGGACAGCTCTTTTAATCTAGTCTTTTCCCAAGGATTTCCCTCCTGGCAGGATTTCAGATTTCTCTCATTGGCCAGTATAATTAGGGAATGATTGCCCTGCTCTTCAGAGGGGAGAACGAACTGCAGTTTGGTTTCTCTTGTCTTCCACTCTTATCCATAAACAGAATATGTATTACCTGTGTTCCTGGTGTAGAGGAGGGTTTCTCAGCCATGGCACTATTGCTATTTTGGGCCAGATAATTCTCTGTTCTGGGAGCTGTCCTGTGCATTGTAGGATGTTTGGCATCATCTCTGGCCTCTAACTCACTAGATGCTGGTAGCAACTCCCAGTCATGCCAACCAAAAATGTCTCCAGATTTTGCCAAATGTCCCCTGGGGAGCGGAGTCTCCCCAGTTGAGACTGCTGGCTTCGAGGAAGCATGTGGAAAAGACACACTGCTTGGAGGGCTGGAAACCATAGTAGATATGCCTGCTGCTTGTTGGGGAAGGGCCAGTTAGCCACTAAGTCTGGCACTAGTCCTTCTCTGGCTGGGCCCACCTGGAGACTTGGCCATTTTCTCCAGCTGCTCCTGTGTTTCCTCCCCCCGTGACTCCCTCTCCCTTTGCCTCTGCAGTTTCCCTGCTTCTCGCACTGGGAGCCACTTTTCCTCACTTTACTCCTTACAACCAGGACAGAAAGGCAAAGGCCAAACGTGGAAAGCACCGAGAAGAGCTGCCTTTGCCATTCCCTGGCAGAGTGGGAGGGTGAGTTGTCCCTCTTCTCTTCCCCTCTCCTCACAGCAGCCTTTCATGCCACAAGATTCCTCTGTTCCTCTAGAAGTCGGGCTCTTCTGGAGTGAACTGGAGGAGGCTCAGAACAGCCTTTCCTTAAATTTATTTGAAGAATGTGAGGTGTTTTTCTTGGAATGGGGAAGACTTAGGTAGGTGATAGCTATTCCTAAATGCCTTTTTTCTAAACCTCTTTTTAAATGTGAAATATAACATATTACATTAACCATTTTTGAGTGTGTAATTTTACAGCATTAAAGACATTCATGTTATTGTGCAACCATCACCACCATCCATGTCCAGAACTTTTTCATTTGCCCGGAACTTTTTCATTTGCCCTCTTTCAGCTGAATCTGTACCCATTAAACAACTCCTCATGCCCCGTAGCCCCGTTACCCACCACTCTACTCTCTTGTATCTGAACTTGACTCCTCTAGGAGTCTCACATAAGAGGAACCGTACAATATCTTCTTTTGTGACTGGCTTGTTTCACTTAGCATAATGTCTTCAAGATTCATCCATTGACCAAGTTACATAAGGGTTAAAGCATAGAAAGAATTAACCTTACACTACTGTCCTGGGAGGCCTACTTGAATTTCATGAAAGGAAGAGCTTTTCAACAAACTTGTCTTCTGTTGGCCGTGTGTGCCATATTGTGCATCCATCATTAGGAATGTCCAGCCAGACCTATTGTAGAAGAGATGCCCATGCTGGGGGAGGTCGGCCCTATTCTAGCTGAGATTCTGGCAGCAGATCCTGTGTCTGTCCTAGAGTTTTGTGTCATCTTCTGGCCTGCAGTCATAGGTGAGAGAGACTTTTCCCTTGGCTCTTCTGGTGAAAACCCTTCCTCCTCCTTCCTTCCCAGAGTTGTGGTGTCTTGGAGTTAATGAGCATCGTGGAGACTCTCCAGTCCAGCCTCCCCGCCAGCCAGTGAGGGAACCCTTGCACAGCCCCTTGAGACCCTGCCTGCCTGTCCTCTGCTCAGAACCACCAGGGATGAGCTGCCTCCTGAGAGCCTCCTCTGCTGATCCTTAGAGGGACAGGTCACTGCCACCACTGCTGCTTCTGTCAGCCTCAGTAACTCTTACCTTATTTGTATTTTATGGTGAGGGGCCTTCTTCCTAGCTTGTATCATCATAATATTGTTCCTTTCTTGGCTCGTGTGCTCAGGCTTTTCCTCATCCCAGGGAAGGGGCTGGGTGTTGGTTCTTGTTGGGTAAACCAGCCTATGGGTGTGCTGGCCTGACTTGCCTGCCTGAAGCCTTCAGTGTGTGCCCTACCTTTGGCCTTGGTATAGCATCCCCACCCCCACTCCCCTTGTACTAGGTTTCTCTTGAAACAGTCTCTAGATTCTAGCTACCAAGCAGCCAGCCCTGAGATTTTTCAGGAGGGAAGTAATTTTTCTCTCAGATTAATTTTTAATCCTTCTCTCCTTAACTGACTTTATATCTCTAAAATATTTGTGGTTTTAGTGCTCTTTTATTGTTTGTTTTTGTTTTATCTTTGTCCTCAACATCTATGCAAACCTTAACCACCCCCTTACTGAATGCCAAGCCATACAGTGAGAGTGCTGAGACCTAAAGAGGTGCCTGGTGTATTCTCTGCCACAACTTTAGCACCTCAGTCATGCTTTGCTGAGTGAATTAACTGCTTGTGAGGCTAAATATGTAGGGGACAGAGATGAGGAGGAATAGGGGCTGTTATGCAGGACAGAGGAGGTCTGGAGGAAGGAGGGCCTTTCTGACTCATTAATTTAACTCATTTTCTTCCCCTCATCTCTTATTAAGGATCTTTTCCAGATGTGAAGGTCCCTTCTCAGGCACCATTGCATTCAGACCAGCATCCAATAGCTTGGGGGCCCTAGTTCACTCCAGCATAGGCCCCTGCCTGAAGAGAACCCAGCCCCGGCTCTGCCTGCTTCCTGGAGTAAGGCTCCAGGTGAGTCTGGGGTAAGGGAGGGCACCCCTGCAGAAGCTGGAAGGGGCTCTAGCTGCCCTGTTTCCTTTCCTCCCCCAGGTCTTTCCCTGTCGTGACTCTTTGGTTAACTCATGGTGTGAGTGGTATGTGGCTGGTTTATGTGAGTCCTTTTAGAGCCCATTACTCTGCCTACCAACGCGAGGATCTATTCCTCGTCTTCTTGGGATTATCCAGGAGTGTTGTGTCTAAGCCCAGTGTCCCTTTTGTCTCCACAGGTGTTTTGAGAGTGAACGCCAGGTTCCCCCACCCTGCCCATCTCCTCTCATCTCTTGGACACGCTCAGCTCCACAATGGCAGCAGAGACCCTCAATTTTGGGCCTGAGTGGTGGGTCAGATGTGCTTTGGGTGGCATAGGGAAGCTGGGAAGAATAGGGTTGCTCAGATACTTGTCTTCTTCCCTGTGTCCCTTTTCTAGGCTGAGGGCACTTTGTAGCGGTGGCAGTGTGGCCTCCCCACCCCCATCCCCCGCCATGCCCAAATACAAGCTGGCTGACTATCGCTATGGGCGAGAGGAGATGTTGGCTCTCTATGTCAAGGAGAACAAGGTGGGAGTGCAGGTCGTGACGGGCTATGTGGTCCAATTCCCTGTATAGCCTCTCCACCTATATGGCTTTTCTGGAGAGAGCCCAGGAGCATGTGATATCTTGGTCCTCCTGCCCTGATTGACAGGTCCCCGATGAGCTGCAGGACAAGGAATTCGCTGCGGTGCTACAGGAGGAGCCACTACAGCCCCTAGCACTGGAGCCTCTGACCGAGGAGGAGCAGGTGGGGCAGGACCAGGGCAGCTGCAGGCCAGGGTACTAGGGCTCCATTTTGGAAGGGGGCTGAGTTGGGAAGACAGGTGGTGGAAGATGCAGTTCTGAACAGAGTGGGGATGGTCAGGTGTCTGGGTCCTCACTCCCACCCCTGGCTCCCTCCTCAGAGAAACTTCTCCCTGTCAGTGAACAGTGTGGCTGTGCTGAGGCTGATGGGGAAAGGGGCTGGACCCCCCCCAAGTGGCGCCTCCCGTGGCAGGGGCAGCACGCGGAGCCGAGGTAGGGAGGCCATGATGTGTTCTGGGGGCAGCAGAGGTGGGGCTTGTCGTCTTGAGGATGTGCAGAGATGTTCTGGCAGGTTTCCCATGTGTATCTCATTTCTTCTTCAGGCCGTGGCCGTGGTGACAGTTGCTTTTACCAAAGAAGCATTGAAGAAGGCGACGGGGCCTTTGGTCGAAACCCCCGAGAGATCCAGCGTAGCCAGAGTTGGGATGACAGGTGCAGGCTGGAAGGAGGTGACATAGAGGCAGAATAGAGAGAAGCTCTGGGGTTAAATCCAGGGTCCCGTGGAGGGAAGCTTAGGTCTTCTGCCATTACAGGACAATAGGAGACCTACCAAATAAGCCCTGGTCAGAGATTGCTTTCTTTGCCCTCTTACCTGTGGCTCTGCCCTTTTCTTCTGATTCTTTCAGTCCACATTTGGCCTGTGAACTGTGTGCTCGCTTGGGCACCCTCCCAAGCCTGACTTTTCCCTAGTTCCCTCCCTCCCTTCACCTTTCTCAGGGCAGAATGGACATGTGTGCAAGGATCCAGGGGATCAGGGAGGGGAAGCTCTCCTTTGACCAACACTTTTTCCTTTCGTAGAGGCGAGAGGCGGTTTGAGAAGTCGGCCAGGAGGGACGGAGGTATGGATAGTGTTGAGGGTTGTGCCAGGCACTGCAGGTCATTGAGAGGTGGGGTGGGGACCAAAATGGGTGGCCCCAGTGAGGGGGACATTTCCAAGGGATGGTAGAGGGACAGGAGGTTTCAGGGCTGGGCTTCTCTTAACCAGTGAGGTTTATAGTAAGAGCCTTCTGGGGACCATGGCTACCTCTTTGCTGACTGTGTCTTCCCCCACTCCCAAGCACGTTCCGGGTTTGAGGAGGGAGGGGCTGGCCCAAGGAAGGAACATGCCCGCTCAGATAGCGAGAACTGGCGTTCTCTCCGGGAGGAGCAAGAGGAAGAAGAGGAGGGCAGCTGGAGACTTGGGGCAGGACCCCGGCGAGATGGCGACCGCTGGCGCTCAGCCAGCCCTGGTGAGGTTGGGGCCAGAGAGGTGTTGTAGTGGGTGGGGAGAGTGAGCAGAAAGAACTTAAAGTGCAGAGGCTCTCAGCGGAGGGAGCTAAAAGTTTGCTGGAGTGGGTTGGGTTGTGGGGCAGACCTGGAAATACCCGGGGTCTTCTGGGCAGCAGAAGAGTCATCCCTCTGGCTTGACCAGGATACTGATTCTCCTCCAACTTTTCTTGCCCAGATGGTGGCCCCCGCTCTGCTGGCTGGCGAGAACATGGGGACCGGCGTCGCAAGTTTGAATTTGATTTGCGAGGGGATCGAGGAGGATGTGGTGAAGAGGAGGGGCGAGGTGGTGGGGGCAGCTCTCACCTCCGGAGGTGCCGAGGGCCTGAAGGCTTTGATGATGACAAGGACGGGCTCCCAGAGTGGTGCCTAGACGATGAGGATGAAGAAATGGGCACCTTCGATGCCTCCGGGGCCTTCTTGCCTCTCAAGGTACCTGTAAGGAGGCCAGGGAAAGATTTTTATTAGAGGCTGGTGGGAACCTGCCCTGATGGGGTCCTCTTTATCCTACCTGTTTGTTCTCTGTGCCCTTACCTTCTGTTGTATCCCCTAACCCCATGCAGAAGGGCCCCAAGGAGCCCATTCCTGAGGAGCAGGAGCTTGACTTCCAGGGTCTGGAGGAAGAGGAGGAAGAGCCCTCTGAAGGGCTGGATGAGGAGGGGCCTGAGGCAGGTAAGCCTTCAGGGTGGGGCAAGGAGAAGGCCAGAGAGCCTAGAGCTGGGCCTTCAGCAGACAGGAGTGTCCATCACCAGGCTGGGTGCTGGCTGTCTACCCGCCTTTAGGTGAAGACTGCTTAGAAACTTGAGAAAAGCAGGTGCTGACAGGTGTGGGGAGGAACCCAGAAACAGTATGGCTGTGTCTTAGAGACAGTATGTCAGGTAAAAGTCAAGTGTAATCAGAACGACCTTTGCAAATCCTTTAAAGAACATAGAATACAGTATTAAATCTATGGTGTTGTGCATACAACCTTGGATAGTGCTGTGGACATGTGCGCCATTGTCCAGTGATGTAGTTGTAAAAGAGGAAATGTGCAAAGTGGGGTTTGTGCTGTTGAGTTAGTGAATGTTAGTCAAGCTGACCAAAGTTAAGTGGGTGGACTCAATACCCAGAGGCCCAAGATCTGGCCACAGATGGAGAGTTTGTATTAAATCGTTTTTAAAGTCTTCCAACTCTTTGGTTTTGAATTGTGGTAATTACCTTTCTCTTTCAGGTGGGAAGGAACTGACTCCACTGCCACCTCCAGAGGAGAAGTCTGGCCCCCCATCCCCCCTGGCTACCTTGGGCCCACTCTGGGGAGCTAATGGGGAAGGAGGTGACGCTGTGGAGAAAGACGCGCCAGCTGCTGAAGGTAGCCAGAGGGTGGGGCCGCCCTTTCTCTGGAGCCAAGGGCTGATGGGGAAAATGCTCTCTTTCTTGAGTAGCCTACAAGGGTAGAGCCTACTTTTCTGGAATGAGAGTGGAAAGGGAACTCTCCTTCCCCTTCTTTGGACCACCCCCCCATTCTATTTTCCTTTCTTTGTTCCTTCTAGGAGACGATTTGAGGGGAATGCAGCTGAGTCCTGGGGTGGGCTCACCCCCTGGCCCACCTGGAGATCTAGAAGATGATGAAGGCCTGAAGCACCTGCAGCAGGTTGGGTGGGGGTGGCGGGGGGCCTAAGAAGGCTCTAGTGATCCTTTCTTACAGGGGGACAGAAAGCCATTGTTTCATCTGTCCCTGCCTAGGTTCCAAGCTTTTCCCCATCTATCCTGCCGTGTTTAGATGATCCAAACTGCCCCCACCCTGACCTTAGCCCTAGTCCTGTTCTGCCTTTGCTATGATCGAGCAGTTGAGTGTTTTCTCTCTCCCTGGGCTCCCAGGAGGCGGAGAAGCTTGTGGCATCCCTGCAGGACAGCTCCTTGGAGGAGGAGCAGTTCACAGCTGCCATGCAGGCCCAGGGCCTGCGCCACTCTGCAGCTGCCACTGCCCTCCCCCTCAGCCATGGCGCAGCCCGGAAGTGGTTCTACAAGGACCCACAGGGGGAGATCCAAGGTGCCCGTTGGGGGTGGGGGGCATGCAGGAGGGGCTGCTGGGGGTGGGGGCACACCACCATTCTCTTTTAGGGCTTCTCTGGCATATCTTTTCTGACTGTAGCCTCCCCTTCCCTTGGTCCAGGCCCCTTCACAACACAAGAGATGGCAGAGTGGTTCCAGGCTGGCTATTTCTCCATGGCCCTGCTTGTGAAGCGTGGCTGTGATGAGGGCTTCCAGCCACTGGGTGAGGTGATCAAGATGTGGGGTCGTGTGCCCTTTGCCCCAGGACCCTCACCACCCCCACTGCTGGTGAGCATATCCACCTTTTTAAGGAGCAGGGAGGGGATGCAGGAGCCTGATGGGTGCCAGCGGGTGGCGTGGAGCACAACAAGGTCAAAGCTGTGGAAATACTTTTGCCTTCACTCAGGGAAATATGGACCAGGAGCGGCTGAAGAAGCAACAGGAGCTGGCAACGGCGGCCTTGTACCAGCAGCTGCAGCACCAGCAGTTTCTTCAGCTGGTCAACAGGTACAGGGGCCTAGGAGGGCTTATAAGTAGGGATAGGCAGTTGCTGTGTCAGCCTGCCCCCCTCATGCCTGTCTTCTCCACAGCCGCCCCCTCCAGCAGTGTGGGCTCCGGGAAAAGGCAGCTCTGGGGGACCTGACACCACCACAGCAGCAGCAGCTCACCGCCTTCCTGCAGCAGCTCCAAGCTCTCAAACCCCCCAGGTCTGTGGGCTGCTCTGTCGAATCTCAGTCTTCATTTAGCTGTGTGTGTATGAGTCTTCAGGATATGTAAAGTGGGGAGATGGGCAGTTTGGAGATGGTTTTAGGGTGCTGAGAATCAGTGCTTTGTTCCTCAGAGGAGGGGACCAGAACCTGCTCCCGACAATGAACCGGTCCTTGTCGGTGCCGGATTCAGGCTCTCTCTGGGACATACATACCTCAGCCTCATCACAGTCAGGTGTGTGGCCAGCCCAGTAGTCTTGAGGGAGAAGGGAGTCCAGGGGCTACGCCTACCCTTCAAGTTGCTTCAGTCCTCCTACAGCTGTCTTTGCTTCCTGTAGGCGGTGAGGCCAGTCTTTGGGACATACCAATTAACTCTTCGACTCAGGGTCCAATTCTAGAACAACTCCAGCTGCAGCATAAAGTGAGTAGGCATCTGGGCGAGAGTCCTCAGGTTTCAAGGGCTAGACTACGGCAGGGAAGGTCAGATGCCCCCAGGTCTGACGTCTGATTTTGACTGTCAGTTCCAAGAGCGCAGAGAAGTGGAGCTCAGGGCGAAGCGGGAGGAGGAGGAACGAAAGCGCCGGGAGGAGAAGCGACGCCAGCAGCAGCAGCAGCAGGAGGAGCAAAAACGACGGCAGGAGGAAGAGGAGTTGTTTCGGCGCAAGCAGGTAGACGCCCATCTGAGCCCTCTGGCCTGCTGGGGCCTGAGCTTGGGGCCAGGCTGCAGGCCCTCACTGTTTTCCTGTTCAGGTACGGCAGCAGGAGCTACTGCTGAAGCTGCTGCAGCAGCAGCAGGCAGTGACTGCCGTCCCAGTGCCCCCTGCGCCAAGCTCCCCACCTCCACTATGGGCTGGTCTGGCCAAGCAAGGACTCTCCATGAAGACGCTGCTTGAGCTACAATTGGAGGGCGAGCGACAGCTGCATAAGCAGGCTCTGCCTCGGGAGCCATCGCGGGCCCAGGCCCCCAACCACCGTGTGGTGAGCAGGCTGGCCCATCCCCGGTTGACTTGTACCTTTTAGGCCCTCAGGAACTCCTCCTAGTCAACTCCCATTGTGACCTGGGGGTGGGGTGGGGAGCATTGGTCTATATCTGACTTTGAAGGACGTCTTGTCTGTATAGTCCTCGCTTTGCCCCCATTTGACACAAATGAATCTCCCCAGTTAGCTTTTGAGTATGTGTCCCTGTTTGGGCCACCCTGACTTCCTGCCATCTGTAGCAGCTTGGGGGCCTGGGCACTGCCCCTCTGAACCAGTGGGTATCTGAGGCTGGGCCGCTGTGGGGCGGGCCCGACAAGAGTGGGGGCGGCAGCAGCGGCCTGGGGCTCTGGGAGGACACCCTCAAGAGCAGTGGGAGCCTGGCCCGCAGCCTGGGTCTGAAGAACAGTCGGAGCAGCCCCTCTCTCAGGTGGGTGCTGGGGCCTGTTGGGTCTGGGCTAGGGCTGGGATGGAAGGATATAGAACACCTGAGCTGATCTCTTGTCTCTAATTCACCCTTTTCCTGCTCAGTGACTCCTATAGCCACCTGTCAGGTCGGCCTGTGCGCAAAAAGACAGAGGAGGAAGAGAAGCTGTTGAAGCTGTTACAGGGCATCCCCAGGCCCCAGGATGGCTTCACCCAGTGGTGTGAGCAGATGCTGCACACACTGAGCACCACGGGCAGCCTGGATGGTATAGGTGGCAGACCCTGGGAGGCTGGGCCAGGGGTGCCAGACCTACATTAGGTGGGCCCTGACAGCCCCACCTAATTGCCCATAGTTCCCATGGCTGTAGCGATCCTCAAGGAGGTGGAATCTCCATATGATGTTCACGATTATATTCGTTCCTGCTTGGGGGACACGCTGGAAGCCAAAGAATTTGCCAAACAATTCCTGGAGCGGAGGGCTAAGCAGAAAGCCAGCCAACAACGGCAGCAGCAGCAGGTGAGGTTTTACATCCCCTGCAGGTGAGGTTGACCTCAGGTGAGAAGTCACCTGGCCCCCTCATAACTCCCTCTCCCTCTCTGCTGGTTGGCAGGAGGCTTGGCTGAGCAGTGGCTCCCTGCAGACAGCCTTTCAGACCAATCACAGCACCAAACTTGGCCCTGGGGAGGGCAGCAAGGCCAAGAGGCGGGCACTGATGCTGCACTCGGACCCCAGCATCTTGGGTACGTTTTGAGGGTGGGGCCAGTAAAAAGGCTCTTTCCTCAGCATGGAGCAGGTGCCTGGGGGTGAAAGAGCTCAAATCCAGCTTCTTCTGGCTTCAGGGTACTCCCTGCATGGACCTTCTGGTGAGATTGAGAGCGTGGATGACTACTGACCAGCCCGTCCCACCAGCCCCCTGGGCTGTAGGCCAGGGTCAGCAGCAGCAGCTTGGACCCTTGGGTCCCCAGCCTGCAGGCTCCCAACAAGGAGCATAGGAGGAAGCAGGGGCAGGGTCCCCAGCACTTGTTACAAACCACACGATGCACCTTAACTCACCCACCACGAGGCACTTTACAGATTGGGGCGGGGAGGGAGAGGGGCTTTTTTCCTTTTTTTTTTTTTTTTTTAAATTTTAAACAACATTGAAGAAAACGTTAGGAGAGACAAAAAAAAAATTGTTAAAAATTAGACTTTAAGCCCCCCTTCCCCCTGTGGGGATTGTGGGGATGACAATGGAAGGTCCACGAAGTTTTGGGGTTTTTTTTTTTTTAAGAAAAAAGAAAAACTGAAAAAAAGGTTAGGAGGCTCAAAGAAAAAACACACTGTTATTTTGGGGCAGTGGGGACATGGCCCCACAGATCTGTCCTTCCTGGCCCCCAAGGCTGCACTTACCCTTCCCTCTAGATGGGTCTTTGGGGTAACTGGAAGCTGGGGTGCCAGCAGTTTGCACAGCAAGGCCCCCTCAACCCCGCCAGCCGGACCGCTGTGAACAGCCCTCTTGTTTCTGTGACTGTGGCAGAGGTGTCCAGGGTTGGGGCCAAAGGAGCCTCTTGGCTTTGCTGCTTTGGGGGAAAGTTGCACAAATGGGCCAGGCCACCTCACCTCCCCAAGTGGTTGATGGGGTAGAGATGGCAGAGGGCCGGCCTGGTGCCAACCTCATCTGGCTATCGAGTGGCAGAACTTCCATTCTGGCCCTGGTGAGGGGCTTCCCCCACTGCTGCCATTGGGGGAACGGCCTGGGTGTGAAGCTGAAAGTCCCAGCTCCCTGCCTTGCCACATGAATGTATTCTTCGGGCCACAAGCCCCTGCTGCACCCCCTGCCTCAATCTTGAGTGAGGTCTGGTCAGAGCAGTTCCTCCAGGAGCTGGAGAGGCACCACTTAATGACTGTTTCTCCTGTAAAGGGGACTAGAGAAGAGGGGCACAGGAGGCCAAGGGAGTAGGCAGCTTGGGGCTTTCAGGTTGCTGTGTGGGGGCTGTTAGAAGGGAGCCCCCTCCCCACCCATCTGACTGGGATGTGGACCACCCAGCTCTGCTCTGATCCCTCCATTGACCAAGCTGGAGAGGAGTGGCCTCTCCCCTCCTTGCTCCCCTGACAAATTTTTAATGTTGGGTAAGGTGAGGGGTCAAGAATAGAGGTGTCTGTCTGTCCTGTTGGGGAGGCATTCCTTCTTCACCGACTTATTCCCAATCATCTGCCTGGGTTTGTCTCCATTCGTGTTTTTTTTTTTTTTTTTTTTTTTTAAACTTGTCTCCATTCGTGTTTTTGTTTTTTTTTTAAGTTTGTTCTATCTTTTGGGTTTCTCATCTAACTTCTCCTGTTGACCTCATTGCTCAGAGCGCAGTATTAGGGCAGGATTCTGCCACTGCCTCCCCTCCATGAATGTATTTATCCTTCCTGCCCTGGGGAAATGGGGAGCGCCGTTTTCTTTCTCCATCCATCCCCAGAGAGACTTTTTTTTTTTTTTTTTTTCTTTTGCACCAAAGTGGCAACTGGGTCAGTGTTGGGGGAAAAAGCTGGCCTCGGTGGTGGAGGAGCTCCCTCCACCTGCTTCTCCCTGGTTTCAACAGTGTTAGCATCCGTGAAAAGACAATATTCTCACTAAAGCAATAAGGGGGTGATGGGCCAGGGGGAAATGTCTTGCTGCTGCTGGCCCCCCAGCTCCCCCTTTCCTTGCGCCAGTATTTGGTGGCATTAGAGGTGTGGGGGGAGTACTGTTGTGACTGAATGTAATTGCCCCCACCCCTGCCGCAGCCAATGCAGGGTGAGGGGGGATGACACTCTTCCCCTCTCTTCCTTCCCCTTCCCCCAGCTAAAGAGACTTTGAATTTAGGGGGCCCTTGAGCCTGGAGAGGCCTTAACCCTGTGAGGAAGTATAGGGGGAGCCCTCTCCCACCCCATCCCCTTCTGAGAGTGATCAATGTTTACAAGCCCCTGAGCCCCCCAGCCCAGGGACTCAGCCCCCATTGCTGTCCTTTCCCAGCCCATCTTCCTGGGCCCTGGCTGCTCTCCCACCCTTCCTGGCGTTGGGGTGGGTGCAGGGGCCCATTCTGTATCCCCTTGTCTTCCTTGTACCTGAAATCTCCCTTACCCCATTACTCCCTCTCTTCTACCTGCCCTTGTAAATATTCCCCAATAAAACTTGGTGTGTGTTCTCTTCTGTCTCTGCATTTTTTTGAGAAGGAGCGGCACAGAGCTGAAAAGGCAAAAGAGCTGCCGGTGGGGGTGGGGGGGGTGGTGGGGCTGGTCAGTCAGTCTAACCCAGCCAGATGAGAGAATGGCAGCTGTGTGTTTAGGAGGAACACCTATGGCCCTACTGGACAGAAGATCCTTTTGCTTGTGACTCCAGCTTTGGTCTGAGAAGTGGGATTTCCTTTCTGGCCCCCTCCTTGGCAGGGCCCTATACCCCTCAACTGATCTGCCCTCCAGGACAGAGACCGCAGAGTGAAGAAGACAAGCAAGGGGAAAGACCAGGTACAGAGTTGGAATTGGTTCCTTTATGGAAAAACTGAAAATATAATAAAAATTAAAATAAAACCAGTTTTAAAAAAGCCAGCCCCTGGAGCTTCTACCTCCTGCCTCTGGCCCTCCAGGGGGATGAGGCCCTGACCCCAGGGCAGCAAAAGGATGAGGGCTTTTTGCTCCTCTTTGTCCCCCTTTCAATCCCCGTCTTTATCTCCACAGTGGGGGCCCCCCGAGAGGAACCAAACCTGGGTAAGGGAGCAGGGACCCAAGGCCCTGTGGCCCAGGGAGGGAGGCTCGTAAGCCCTCAGTCCCAAAGCTCCCGGCCTGTAGTGTGGGCATGGGCAGGGCCCCTCCTGACCGGGCCCAGCTAGGGTTGGGGCTATTAGTTCCAGATCTTGAGAAAGGAGTCCCAGGAGCCTGTGGCCACAGCCATGCCATCATCAGTGACCCCGAGGCAGCTCACACGGTTGTCATGGCCGGCGAGGACACCTGTGAGGAAGGGATACATCAGAACTCATCTGTTCTGGGTTCCCTGTCCCTGCCTGCCCCTGCTCAAGATCCAGCTCTCACCTGCACGGTCGCCCTTCATGGCATCCCAGATGTTGCAATTAAAGTCGTCATAGCCAGCAAGCAGCAGCCGGCCACTGCGCGAGAAGGCAACAGAGGTGATGCCGCAGATGATGTTGTCATGGGAATACATGAGGAGCTCCTGGTCCGCCCGCAGGTCAAAGAGGCGGCAAGTGGCATCATCGGAGCCCGTGGTGAAGGCGTAGCCATTGGGGAAGAACTATAGGACACAGGACCAGAGTGGGATGAAGGCACAGGGCAGGCCAGAAGCCTGGCAGAGATGGCCAGCCCAGCCTGCCCAAAACTTACAGCCACGGCATTGATGTCAGATTCATGGCCAATGAAAGTCTGTCGGCACATCGAATCCCGCACATCCCACAGCTTGATAGAGGCATCACAGGCACCTGACACAAAGGTGCGGCCATCGGGGGCCAGTGACAAGGACATCACATCCCCACTGTGTCCAGCAAAACCCACTGTCTGCTGGCCTGTCTCAATGTCCCACAGGGCACTGGAAAGGTGACAGGAAGAAGGGATCAGAGAGAGGTACAGGATAGACACCCTACCTCCCTTCCCCTCCACCATGTGAGCCCAGCCCTGACAGAGCATCCATGGAAGCGGTGCCAGGAACTACTGGGTCACAGAAGCCTGCTCTTGTCCCCTCCTTTCTGCCACAGGAGAGAGAGGCTAGATGTTCAGAATAAAGGCTCTGCCCTTGCTCAGGGTACTATGTGCTGAGCACTGAGGCAGTGGCCTCCCAGGTAAGAAGTGTGGGTGAGCCCCAACTGCCTAGCCCTGGCAGGGCCTCACCAGGTGGTGTCCCCAGAGCTGGTGATGATTTGGTTGTCATCCAGGAAGCGGCAGCACGACAGGTACCCTGGGGAAAGGGGCTAGTCAGCAGGGTCTCTAAGGGAGGGCAGGACAGCCCCTCCAGCATCAACAGTTCCTATGCCCTACCAGGCCCCTCTCACCAGTGTGGCCAGGAAGCTCCCGGCTGACCCTGACATTGCCCTCACGGGTCTTGAGACTGTAGATGGAGCAGATGTTGTCTAACCCCCCGCAGGCCACAAAGTTCCCTGAGGGCGCGTAGGCACAGGTCATGACCCAGGAGGAACGCAGCGGGATGGCATGGACCTAGGAAGGAGGGGTAGTGCCCAGGGTCAGAGCCAGCTAGGCAGGGCCTGCAGCCCAGCCCCATCCAGCCTCAGGCACTATTTCTACCTTGTTGGTAGTATAGCTGTCCCAGATGATGAGCTTCCCGTCCTGGGAGGCGCTGACCAGCAGCCTGTTGGAGAGTGGCAAGGGAGAAGAGGGGCTAGGATGTGAAGCCTCCTCTGAAGGATACCCTTCCCAGTCTCCCATCTGGTGGGAGGCACTTCTGAGACCACTCCCCGCAGCAGCCCAGAAGTTCTCGTCCGTATGGTCCTCTTTCCCATTCCCTGGGGATATCTGGGAGTTTCGATCTTCCCAAACATACTGAGCAACATGGGTACTGTTCATCCCCACAGATCAGAAAGGCTAACCCTCCCCACTGCTCCCATTATGCCTGCTATAATTTAGCCCTGGGGCAAACACAAAAAGGCTCAGCACCCAGCCCCAGCCACACACACACCTTGAATCTGTCCCCCAATGCATGGCATAGATTTTTGCCAGGTGCCCACGGAGGGTCCTCCGTGTCCTCATCTGGATTCTCCCCACTGGGTCCAGCCCAGCTGTGATCTAGAAGGTGGAGGTAGAATGCATCAGAGAGGGTCAGGCAGTAGGGGCCCCTAACCAGTATGCCTCAAATTCTTGTTCCTTCCCTAAACCCCAAGTCCAGCCCTGGATTCATCTCACCTGGGTCAGTGTTGAATCCCCACATGCTTTTCGGGCATCCTGTAAGAGATGGCAGAGCCAGTCAGAAAAAAGCAAGGAAAGATGAGGAGGAAGGAAAAAGAAAACACGAGACAGAGGAGTGGAAAAGAAAAAACAGGAAGGGGTTAGGGTACCCCTCCATACACACACACAAAGAACATCCCCCACCCCACCCCCACACAGCACACGGACGCCTGCCCTGCCCACTCAGTCCCCCCA